TGGCTTTAGGAAACAGGCTTCCAGTTATATTTGAAGGTTGGAATGTTGGTCTGTTTGGCTGGATTTGGCTCAAGTTACCACTCACCTGGACGTAACGTAGCCTTCTCTGAATGAGGAGAGGTCCACCAGAATCATCTGCAACCAAGAGGAGAAAGGAGCTTAGACAAGGAGTTAGCTGGCTAGGCTAACTAGAACGATGCTACTAGAAGCTGGTTTCATCAAACATTTCAGGCACCACCAAAAAGGTTCTCATTTTATGAAGTAATGAACGAGGAAGGATGAAATTCTTAATGTTCCTTCTCTGATTCCCCCTCCCCCACAACTCGAGTGCAGGGGTGGGCTTCAAAAATTGCAGCAACAGGTTCGCTGCCTCGTTGCTGGGTGGGCGTGGCCATAGTGGGCGTGGCCTAGTCGGCTTCCTGCACTATGGCAGGGGTGGCGCTGTAAGAGCTCTAACTCAGGGCTGTCAAACTGGGCCGGGTGAGTCAGGCACTGGCCATGCCCGGTTTAGCAAAGGGGGGGGGGAAGTCACGTGATGCCGCCATGATGACGTGAGTTTGACACTTGTGATCTAAGTCCATCCTACTTTGAGTGCCTCTCTTATCTCCCACTTGTTTTCCTTAATGTTCAGTTGGCCAGATTCAGGTAGAGAGCTTAATGTTGTACTAAATCTTACTCATTTGAATTGCTAGAATCTCCTTATTTCCCCAACGTAGACATTAAATATCGATGCTTAATTCCCATTAAAGTAACTTTTGCTTCTTGATCCCTAAACTAAACATCTCCAAGGTGGAGGAGGAGACGGAGGTTGGAGGGCTATTACTTGCCCAACGTAAGGAATTACTTGCCCTCCGTGAGTCAAATACAGAAGACTATCCCTGCCAGTTGGGATATAGCAGGTAGAAGGAGGACTCCTGGTGTTCAAAGTAATTAATGCGGACAATTTTTAATAAACTCGATCTTGTTTATTTGAGCCCTGGCTTCTCTTTGAATGTACCTGTGCTTCAGTTTCCATCTTGCACATTCTAAATTATCCATGGGCACAAGAATTGCAGGAAAGTATTGCACAGCTCATTGGAGAAATCTCGAGTCCAATAGTCCCAGAAGCATCTCCAAGTACTGCTGTCAAACTGGCATGCAGAATCTACTTTTCAATTAGGTTTAATCCTTTAATTTCATTTTAATTCTGTGTAAATCAACTGTCAGTTCCAGTTTGGGCAATCGTATACCGGGAGATACATCCATGTTCTTTTCTTGATAAAAATATGGAAGTATCTTGTTTGTTTTTCTTTCAGGGCACCAAAGTCTTTCTCCTCAGTCACTTATCCAATTATCAATGTACACATAGAAGGAATTAGAATAACAGAGTTGGAAGGGACCTGGTAGGTCATCTAGTCTGACCCCCCCTGCTCAAGCAGGAGACCCTAATAAGGCTAACGCTGGGCCAGATCACTTGCTGCTTTGGAAGATCCTATACTTCCCAGGCCTAAAGAGAAGGAATCAGATTTAGGGGCCAATTCTTCTTACATGAACAAACGTTGGGGTCCACTTGTGGATCAATGCCTCCTGTGCAAAGGAAGTGTTCGTTCACCATCTCTGAGATATTTGCAACGTTCACGTATCCTTTGGCTTTTGCGGCATCCAGGTTGCAGGCCATTTTCTGGAGAGAGAAAGGGAGATGTGGATTTAAACACAAAACACATCCAGAAGGTCCTGAACAGGGGAGGGATTCAAAAATTTCAGCAACGGGTTCTCTGCCCGGTTTCTGGGTGGGTGTGGCCATGGTGGGTATGGCCTACTCAGCCTCCTGCACCATGGGGGGGGGATGGTGTTTTCATCCTCCCCAGGCTCCTGAAGCCTTTTTTGAGCCTCCAGGAGAGTGAAAACAGCCTCCCCAAGGCTCTGGACGCTCTCTGGAGGCCCGAAACGGGCCTGGTTCCAGACTTCTAGTACTTCTGATAGGCCCGTTTTTCACCCTCCCAGAGCCTCTGCACAGGCCCTGTACTTACCTGGCATCCAAAACAGGCCGCATAGAGGGGAGGGGCGGGTGGGGCCAGCCAGTCCTTCCAACTACTGGTTTGGCGAAGCAGATGTAAAATTAGCATTCGGTATGCCCTAACCGGCCCGAACTGGCTGAATCCCACCCCTGAAACTATCAAACCTAGGCATCTTCAGGACCTGAGCCACCATGGTTGCCGGGAAACTCTGATAGTTATAATGACAACATATCTTGAAGGAGGCAGGCTGGGGAAGGCTGGTCTGGAAATAGGTTTGTGTTGTGGCACAGCAGGAGCCGTTGGAGCTGCTGATGGACTCCGATAGCGAGGGACCCTATGAGTCGGCTCTGGAAGATGTGGAGGACGCTGGGCAGGGTTCAGACTCCGAGCAGGGACCAGAGAGGCTGGTTGAGGAGATGTGGAGGCGCCTGAGGCATGGAGCAGTGGTGAAAGTCAAAGGGAGTTTGTCCCTGACGTCAGGCACTGGAGCAGTGGTGAAGATGAAAGGGAGTTTGTCCCTGACGCCCGGCAGAGAAGGGCGAAGAAGCAAAGGCAGCAATTACAGAGACAGACTCATAGGAGATAATCAGGCCCAGGTGGACAGTTGTGATTTGGCTCCTCCCAAGAGAGTATATAAGAAGAGACTTTGGGAGGAGA